AGAGAGAGAGAGAGAGAGAGAGAGAGAGAGAGAGTCCCCGCCATTCCTTCAGCGTGTAGTCCTGAGCAAAGTATTGGTTTTCCGTGACACATTATATTGCGTGACAGGTCCCGACAAACTTAATTGTTGTATGCCAACATCTGAGCTGGGCGTGTTCTTCAGGTGTGTTCACGATGAGCAGTGTGTGTATTTGTGTGTACGCGTGCACATGCGTGCGCCACTGCGTCTCTCTTTCTCTCTCAGAGTATGTGTGCGTTTATGAATGAATGAGTGAAACTTAAGTGTTGGTGTGTGAGAGTGAGCGTATTGAGGTAGTGTGTGTGTGTGTGTGTGTGTGTGTGTGTGTGTGTGTGTGTGTGTGTGTGAGTGTGGGTGTGTAAGAGAGAGAGAGAGAGAGAGAGAGAGAGAGAGAGAGAGAGAGATAGAGAGAGAGAGAGAGAGAGAGAGAGAGAGAGAGAGAGAGAGAGAGTATGTCTTAATAAGTATTTGTGTGTGCTTGTGTGTGTGTGGGTGTGTGTGTGTGTGGGAGGGTGTGTGTGTGTGTGGGTGTGTGTGTGTTGTGTGGGTGTGTGCGAGTGAGTGTGAATCTGTTTCTGAAGAAAAAGTTAAATCAATAACAAACTCCCTAGGGTACAATGTATTGAATTAACAACTACTGCTCTACACAGAGAAGCATTGTCATTAGCTACACCACAGAATCTGGTCGCCAGAAGAAAGTAATGCATTAAATTAATCAAACAAAAATGAAACCTCCGATGTTAAGTTACATTGGTGAACTTGATAAAAAAATTGTTAAAAACAAAATTTAAAAAAACACAACATGCTAATAAGCCAATTCTTTTTCTTTTATTTCTTCATTAATTAGCAGAAAAACATGGAAAAAAATGGGCACAATCTAGTTAGTAAATTCATCAAAACCTTATTTATTATAACATATATAATATATATATGGTTAAACATTTTTATCCGTCTCATACAACGACTTTCATCAATACTGACAAAATACAACAAACCAGAAACATAATTATTAAAGTAACCAAATTCAAGAATGTATTCTTCTATAACTGGCAGAATAATGCAGTTTCATACTCATACAAACTAGAAAGGCACATTCTGAAGACTAGCCTAGCTTTAGGTCATCCTTGCTCACACTACTCACAGAGAAACGACAATTTCAGATAGTCAAAACCAAAACTTGTCTCCAACTTACTGTTTCAACAGAACTAATAAATAAAATTTATTTCAGAACATATGGTAACAATGAAAAAATCCTTATGTGTTTGCCAAAGAAATAAAATCAGGACCAGTCACTGTACAATATGAAAGGAAACAAAGACAAAGGGAACTATGAACACAATGTGATACCGGTATCCCACAAAATTGTATGTACCCAAGTGCTAAGTGAAGAAGTACCACTTTCATTTTCAAGGAAATATGGGGTATGGGGAATTTCTTACTCTGTTCATTCAAGTACTCAGTTTGAATAAAAATAAAAATTTCAACTTAAAAAAGCCAAACATCTTCATCTAGTTAAATAAAAATGATATCTATGCTGTCAACCAAATTTGCACAACAAAAAGGGAACATTTTCAATGCTTAAGATAACTGAAATTATTTTATACTATTGAAACAGAAATAGAAAGCAAAATTAAAATCTCAATAGTAAGGAACATTTTTTTCATCCATAAGACAATACACATCAAGGAACTTACATATAATATATAAATAACTGCTTTAACTACTTTCCCAGAGTGTAATTGTTTCTAAACTGCAGAATTTATAATAGAATACAAATCTTGAAATTGAAGAGCTTCATCAAAACGAAACGCCATTGATAGGATCTGTGCTTTGTATGCAAAACATTATTTTTAAATTCATCTTTTGTCAAGTTCACTGGTGCTATGACTATGATGTAAATTTATGAAGTACTGAGACAGTTAAATGGTCGGTTCCTCGATTAATAAAGACAAATAATTTGCCTAAAATACTACTACAGAAGGTGGAAAAAATCTGGTCTCAAGAGAAAGAGCAAAATTTGTAATGAATCAATTTATCATAACATTTCTGACTACATGAAGTTTCATCACAAAATCCAACAAACTCTTTTTCAATGGCCACACAATAAAAAGTTTATCTTGGGCACATTGCATGTCGTCCGCCATCCACTGGTAAACTAGCTCCAGTGATGAAAGAAGCTTCATCAGAGGCCAAAAAGGCTATAGTCCTAGCTACCTCGTCCGGCTGACCGGGACGGCCCAAGGCATGAGTCATCTTGCATCTTTCCAGAAACTGAAAATGAAAGAGAAATAAAAAACAACTCAATTTTAAAAAATCAATACAAGGTAGAATGGTACAAACACTGTATATTTATTTTTGACAAGATGAAATCAGAGGCATGACAGATGTAAAATAAGCAGTTTTAAAACAGGCTATTGGGTACACTAATTTGACATTATATTCAGAGAAAATATTCCATGAAAAACAAAAAAAATCCAGACCCGATAAAGATTTGATTAAAAAAAAACCTTTCAAATATAGATCAAATTCTTGACCAACAGGATGGCCCAATCTTGAGCTTCATCTAAACAAGCATAGAATCAGAACAGGAGAGAAGAAAATGAAATTACACAGGAAAAAGGAATTTTAGCTGCGGCTGAAGAATATACTTCAACCTCTTGTCGATCTTGGTGGGGAAGCAATGGAGATGGAGTCACAGAAGACAAAGGTCAAAGAACTCTTTACTTCAACATGTCAAGAGAAGAAATGGAAACATAAGGAATGGATTAGCCAGCTCACCCTGGAATTGATTAGTAAAAGAAGACAACTGAAGGCAGAGGTGACTCTAAGTCGAACAAGCGGATCAAGAGCAGATGCACCAAAACCGAACAGGACAAAAGCTAAAGAAGTCAAGAGATCACGAAGAAAAGATAAGGAGCAATTCATGAACAGGTTGGAAGAAGGGAAGAGGAGGGCAGATGAGGATACTTTGACCAGACCACAAACACTCCTGTTGTAAAATGTGGCAAACCTGAAATGCCAGTAAAGGACCAAAAGCAGGAAACCCACCCTGCCAGAAAGAAATGAGGTGCCAATCTGCCGTGATGCTCCTTCAAAACAAGAGATTTTGGACGCCAAACAGAGGCAAAGCGAATGGTCCTGGTCCTGATCAGATTCCACCTAAGGCCCTAAAAATAGATGCCAATGTGACTGTGACAGTAAACCCCCCTTCTCCCACTGTTTACCATGATCTGAAAAGAGGGGAAGTTCATAAAAGATGGAAAGGAAGGTCTCTTCATGAAGCTTCGAAAAAAAAAGAGGATCTCAGCAACTACAGAGGAGTTACTTTTCCCTTGATCCTAGGTAATGTCTTCAACCGAATAAGCCTAGTTGTGCAACGGATCAAAGACTCCACGATGAACAGGCTGGTTTTCAGTAAAATCAGTTGATCACCGACAAGATAGTTATGCTTAGGATCATTATCAACTTCCTTGCCTGTAAGAAGGCTTTTGACAGCATCATAGACTGAGCAACATGGTGGAAGATCCTGTGGCATCACAGAACCCCGCAAAAGACGGTGAACCTCATCAAGAGCATGTAAGAAAAGACAAGTTGCAGGGTAGTACATGATGGGCAGATCACTGACAGCTTTGACATCAAGACAGGTGTAAGACAGGAGTGTTTACTATGACATTGTTTCTTCATCTTGGTGATAAACTGGCTAATAGAGGAAACCATTAGAGGGCAAAGAAACGGTATACAGTGGATCCTGTGGTCACAGTTGGAGGATGCGGACTTTGCGAATGACTTGGCGCTCCTGTTGCACACCCAGGATCAGATGCAAGAAAAGACTTCAGTCTTAAACAAACTATCAGAGTCAGTTGAATTGAGGTTCCACCCCGGAAAGTCAAAGGTTCTAAATATAGAAGCTATCTAGGGAGTATAATTGACACAGAGCAAGAGATTAAGATCTGCATCAGAAAGGCACAGACTGCTTTCATGTCTTTGAACAGAAATTGGAGGATTACAAATATCTCGCTCAGAGAATTTTCAACTTAAATGCAAAGTCAGTCTTGTATGGATGTGGACATGGAACACATCTCACACTTGCATAAAGAGGATCCAAGCTTTCTTGAACAAATGTTTGAGAAAGTAACTCAGGATCAGATGGACAGACAGGGTCACCAATCAGGAAGTGTTAAGGAGAACAAGACAGAGCCCCGCCAGAGATAAGGTAGAATGAAACGATGGATTGGATATACTCTTGGAAGCCAGGCAGCTGCAAAACAGAGAAAGTATTGGACTGAAATCCTCAGGAAAAGAGATCAAGGGGAAGGCAACATGGGACCTGAAGAACAGTCACATAGAACGATGTACACAAAAGTGGGAAAACAAGAAATGAAATACAATGGTGTCCACTTAACAGCAACCCAGAGAAGAGAAACATCCGTTTAACAGCAACTTTGGCTAGTTTCTACATAAATAACCCCTTTTAACTGCAATACAGTGAAGTCCACTTATAACGAGTCCTGAAATAACGAGAAGTCTGATATAAAGACACTATTCTAAAACCCCGTTTTTTTCCCTTCTTTATCTTTGTAAATAAAATACTGCTATTGCGCAATCAGTCACGCGAGTCGGTTATAGCGGAATAATGCTGCTGTGCACAGCAGACAGACCAATTAAACATATAAAACCTCGCCAGTGGAGAAAGTTGTTGGTGATCCAGCGAAACAAAGAACGGGAGAGCCCACGCGAACCAACAATGAAGGCCTGAGCGAATGAGTGGGGAGGGCGTGGCATGCGCAGACAAGCAGAACGCATTGCGTGATAGGCCAGCCCAGTTTAGATTATCTAGGCATACCGTGCCTCTCACTTCTCTGGTGCGGGATGGAGAGGTCACAATGCAGTGATAGATGGAGTGAATGTGTGACGTGCGCAAGCAGACGCAACGCACCACAGGGTGTGGTGGGGTGGGGAACAACACAGTGGGCAAGTTAGCCTAGAGCCAGAGCCCCTTCTCTCTGATTGCCAAAGCCGATTTGTCAACATTGCTACTGCTAGAGAAAGAAACCTGATTTGATTTTTGATCAAGTAAGACCTAGAGATCATGTTGAACAAAATCATCATCAGGGGAAATACAAAAAGGAATAAACAGAACACCTAACTCATAGTAGAAGGCCTCCTTTACTATTTCCCTTGAATTTATTGCTGGATCCCTAATAACGAGAATCCTGCTATAACGGACATTTCGCACCGGTCCCCTCCCTCTCGTTATAACAGGATTCCACTGTATTTCCTCTAACAGCAACATTCCTTGCAACAAACTGTTGGACAAAAAGTTTATTTGAAGATTCAAAAACTGTGTAACCACCTAGACTGACCTATAATTTCAGTGTGCGTGTGCAGTCCTCTTCTCTTGTTATCAATTTCCTAAGCGTAAGTACAGAAACTCAGATCACACCCTCCTGCCAAGGGCTATCTTCCTTCAAAAGTCTCTCAGCTGGCTTTGGGGGGGGGGGGGTATCTCAGCCTCTTCGATTATACATGTATATGTGTAATAATACCATCCTGCACTCGAGCATCTGCTCATGCCAAAGGAAAAGCTGTGGTCAAATCTCAGCACTGCAACTGCCAATGTTCTCATCCTCTGATACAACAGCATCACCAGATGCTACTAATAGGACTCGTGTGTGTGTGTGTGTGTGTGTGTGTGTGTGTGTGGTGTGTGTGTGTGTGTGTGGTGTGTGTGTGTGTGTGTGTGTGTGTGTGTGTGTGTGTGTGTGAGAGAGAGAGAGAGAGTGTGTGTGTGTGTGTGTGTGTGTGTGTGTGTGTGTGTGTGTGTGTGTGTGTGTGTGTGTGTGTGTGTGTGTGTGTGTGTGTGTGTGTGTGTGTGTGTGTGTGTGTGTGTGTGAGTGAGTTCATGGCCTTTGCCCTGATCCGAGGTGACAAAAGCACAGATGAAGAAAATTTGAACCTTCTGGTGCGGATCACTTCTTTTTAGTATATTAGTACAGTAGGCACAGTCTGTTTTGTTTGAGTTGTAAAAAAAAAAGCACATCGACACATTAAACAGTGTTTGACTGCATTGAGCTACGGTATATCTTATGTCCTGCGATAATGACGTTTGTGTCAAATGAAGCCAATGCATGCTAGAAAATGCCAGTGGCAGTGAGAGCAAGGAAAAGATAGATGTGAAGCGTTCTATTGAATCATCTTGGGTCTCTTCAGGCTAAGCATCATTGGTAATTATGTAAGCCTACAACTATTATAAATAGTATAGACACATTGAGTGACTAAGGCCCAAATTTTCAGACTTTCCTATCTGAAAAAGAAACAAGCTATGTCAATGTCAATATTTCTCCTTATGTCAACTTACAGTAGCATACGCTTCATCGCTAAGACCTCCTCGTTTCTGTAGTTCAGTGACGATAACGCCAGGGCTGTCGAGACACAAATGGAAAACATGTCATAATTTATGTTCAAGGACATTATTCTATATTAGTAAAACCTTAGAATAACAAACTTCCTTCCGACTGCCAAAAAATGGTACCAACAGTGGGAGTTATCAAGTTAACTTGATAGATGGTCCAAAAGCATTCATTTAAACTTTTAAAGTATTGTTTGCTTGTTTCTTCTATACGCTGTTTTCATGTTTTTCTTCATCAAATCCTAGTGACATAGGCATACACTTACAAGCATGAAGAATTTAACAATGTGGTGCGGGTAGAGATTATGATGGTGATGATGCTGATCAATCCAAATGCTGATCTCTTTGCACAAAGATGAACATCTGGGTTTCTTTTTGCCAAGCTACATGGGTAGGGAGGAGACTGGAGTAGGGGGAAGAAAAAGATTAGGAAGTGTGCGCACACACATGAATGTACTATGTGTCTGAAGGAATGAGCACTCAGGGTCCGGACGCAAGGTTCCACTGCAGGCAAAACTGACATGCACTTGCAAAAATCTCATCCTTTCACTGTAGCTGATAACGCTGCACTCTTGTAATCTTTAAAAATTCTCACAGTATACAATGGACCGTGTGAATGGACTCTTGATCACCAGATTCCTTCGAGAAGTGAACGTTATAACAAAAAGTAGGTTTAATGCAAGTAAGCCTTAGACATAGCTTAAAAAGGGTTGTGTTTGCTTTTCTTTTAAAATGTTGGTGTTTTTACTCCATCATCAACACAATTTAGATAATTTAGGAGGAAAGCTTCTGATTCTGCTTGTCAGGGCCACCCTAGGCCAAGAGGGATACAACATCCCAACAGAAAGACAGAGATCCTTGGTAAAAATTTTGCCCACTTTGGAATTGAACTCAGGTCTCTTGCAAGTGACAGTCAAGTGCTAGAGCTGTGCGATTTTGAGAAAAAAAAACCTTTGTCGAAGCTTCAAAGCGCGAGGTCACTATTCATGTTATTCAAATACCACTCGCAAATAGTTTTTCTTTTTTTCTCATACATGTGTATGAGTCTGTTGGCAGTTATCGCTATTAAATTTTCACTGTTTAGAGACCTTCTCATCCAGTGATTTTGAGCTGTGTACGCCTGTCTCTTCACTTGCCGCGGCCGTGTTTTGCATAGCGTGGTGGTGATAAAACGTTAACAAAGAAAGACTAGAGGCGACAATGACATGAGAGGAGGGGAGAGGGGGAATCATCAAATGGGGTGAGCATGTGGCCAGCATGGCTCATAATACTTATTATCTTTCATTTCATTGGGCCCTGCCATCCCCTCACTGCAATGTTGAATAGTGAAATTGAATGCGCACAGCTCCACCAAGTGCCCAACACCTATACTACAGATGCTGGTACTCAGCTTATAAGGAGTATAAAAATACTAAATGGGACTCTGGCCTTCAGAAAATGAACATTACAGGTGACAGTATGCTAAGACATATATATATATATATATATATATATATATATATATATATATAATATATATATATATATATATATATATATATATATATATATATATATATATATATATATAAAAATTAAAAACTAGAAACTTGTCAAAATAGAATCCTTCTTTAGCACGACCAAATTCAGAGTTTTCATGTTCTCATTGACATAATTTTGATCATCAAGGAGCCAGACTACCGACCTTGCAAGTTAGGGTCGGGGTGAAAATCCCACGAAAAGACAGAGATGCCTGATAAAAATGTTCTCCCAACTTGGGAGTCGAACTTGGGTCTCCTAGGTGCGATGGCAAATTACATAATCATTACACCACACACACTGGTTCATAATCCCTGACTAAACTCCTTTAGCCTATTTAAACAATGAAAGCAAATACAACTTCACCTCTTCCTCATCACATTTTTTCAGCCCCTCCCCACCTTCCTTCTGCATTTCGCCAAGTAAGACCATGTCATGACTGGCTTGGTTCACTTTGAGTTTGAGCACCAAGTACAAGTATCAGTTTACCTTCCCCTTACTAATAACATATAGTAGTACAATGCACACCTCTTTCAATCTGTCAGAGCTATTTTAAAAGAAGCATGTTCGTAAAATTCAACAGATATCTCCATCAAGTTAGGAATCCACGTGAAGAAAAATAAACAAACAACAAAACAAAAGTTTCTCTCCATAATTCTAATTTCATAGTCATCCTTTGCACTAATCCTCATTGTTATGATGAGCTTTCTTGACATAAACTGTTCATAGAAGGAATGATGCTTCACATTAAGCTGGTTCTACCACAACTACAAGATTGACAGAAGCGTAAGTGTTCAGGGAAAAACAAGTTCTCTTTGTTTGTTTATAGAATATGACAGTAAACATTGTACACTAAATTAAAAATTATGTAAATCTGATCAGGTTTTTCGAGACAAACCATTTGTGGTTGTTGTAAACAGTGTTGCCAACACAAAGAATAAACAGTATAATGCGCTTAAATCGACATGCTTAGGGAAGTGGATTTGATGTCGATATATGAAAATATAAAGCCAAAGAGGAAAAAACAAGGAGAAGTCAGCGGTAAAAAGACAACACTACTTTTTAAACTGGTTGCTTCCCTTGATTCTTACACAGCTACACAGTGAAACTAACAAGAGACAGAGGGGGAGGGAGGGTTACAGTTGCGGTACCAAAGACTGAGCAACGCGAGGCGTACACTACACAATAGCGCAAACATTGTTGTAGCATCCTTGTAAGGCCAGTTCATGGCCGCTTGCTGAGGAAAATGGGAAGGCGAGGCACTGACTCACTGACCGTGGCACTTGCCAGCAACAGACTGAGAATCGGATGGGGAAGGGGAGAGAGCTGGGAGTGAGTGATCGGGAGTGGGGGCAGGGAGGTGATGTCCAGAACGCGAGACGGTCACGTTTGTGAGGCATTGTACTGTGCTGAAAACAACACTGTGTAGGCTCTGTATGACCTACTAAAGCCTGGTGTGTCGAATAGGCTACTTGGCGGATAGGCATACTTAATGAAGAACTAATGCGTTGACCATTAGCGAGGCTTTTTCCCTCATTTATGTTTGTGGGCTTCGCCAGGTACCCAGGAAGCGTGTCGATAAAGTAGAGTGGGCCAAAAATAAAGTTGATATAAGTATAAGAGAAATTGTATAGTGAAGATATAGAGGAGAAAATTTCGTAATTGAAACATATGTTGACATGTCAAAATGTCGATACATCGGCTGTCGATATAAGTGGATTATACTGTATTGCGGTTCTGTTATGGAATGGAAGATTGTACTAACAATCAGTGATTTAAACTTTTTAGTGTTTGTGTTACCTGTGCTCGAATGTGTGTATATATACATCTGATATCAGGCCACCCCCACTCTCTTCAATCACAAAAATCTCGATTTCTATTTAAGATATATGTGTATTAGCTTCATAAAAAATCAAGGCAGGTGAGGAGGATTTAAAATTATACTGATAACTCCCCATATCCAAAATTTGACGACATGAAAAGGTTAAAAATGTCTTAAGTTCAAAGTGCATACTTACTTCACTCCATTGCAACGGACTTCTTTTGGAGCCAGCTCTGAAAAATAAAGATACAAGTACTCCAAAATCAAGCAGTAAAAATGATAATGAAACAAAAGAAATCAGTGCACATAACACTAATTCTGAAACAACTACACTGGTTGCCAGAAAAGAAAGGATCAAAACAAAACGGCCATTTTCTGTTTTAAATGTATAAATGCCACACCTTTTTTTTAGTTTTTAGTTTTAGTAGAGGTTTTACGGAGCTCGCAACTGCATTAGGTCATAAGAGCAGCAAGGGGTTGATGTCAACAGAGAAGTCCTTACAGGGAATCAGACTTACTTTGCTCACCTCTCTAGCTTCAACAGCACAAAGTCTACTTCGACTATCAAGGCACCCCGGAAATAGCGGGTCACAAGAGTGTGACAAACATAAAAAAGCAGTAGAGGAAAATGACAATAGTAAGGATTAGGTAAGAAAAAGCAGCAGTTCCCTGTTGTAGTTCAGGCACAGTTATGAGCATGGCATTGCTGGATCAGCTCATTTACAATTCTACAGTGCATTAGAACGAGAAACATCCCCCCTTTGGGAATGGCCTACAGACACTTCAGTCTGTGGCACCTTCCCAGGGGGGGTACTGCACCTTTTTATCTTTAAAAAATTCCAGGAATTATATCATCCACCCAATTCCCGTGTCCCAACACAAATGTAAATTATTCTATGTACATCGTACGGCTTTTAAGGATCGCATTCCTTAAGAACGTGATTTTGAGGTATTTTCAAAGAAATATATATCTCAACTGTTTTATAGGGGGTGCCCACATACGCGATCGGGTCAGGTCGGGTCGGGCCAATCGAGTAGTCAGGGATAGCTAAATTGAGGGCGCAAAGCGGCCATCGCGGCACAAACTGATCGACGCGATCGGTGACCTACAAAAACAAACGCGTTTGTTTTCTGGCCTGCGAATCACACGATCGGGTGGTTTGCAGCCAATCACAACAAGGCTGAGAGTCACGTGTCCATTTTGACCCATGAATACATTAAGTAATACTCTGGCCTCGATTCAACTCATTTCGGAAGGAAATTTGCATCTTTAAGTACATTTTTGCTTCTTCATTGCACTTTACATGATCAATAAAGTAGTATCTCATTATAATATGTTGTACAATAGCAGATTTGGGCTGAAAAACAGCAGACAAAATGAAATCAAAGCACTTGACCTAGATCTAGATCTAGATTATTTCGTTCTCAGGAGGGCTAAAAATAGGCCATGTTAGACCAAGAATCTAACTATGGACGTGTCTAGATCTACATTCTCTAATGTTTAGTGCTTCCAATTTTCCGCCAATTTTTAGTTTTCTCCAGACCTTATCTACAGGTCCACTAGATCTAGGCCTAGATTCTAGATCTACATCTCGATTTATTATGTCGCTTTGCCTTTCCCGAAACAGTGCTGTAAATATGAAGCTTGTTTGTTTTTTGTTTTGGTAAAGTGTTTTATGGCGCTCGCAACTGCATAAGGTCATATGAGCACGGGGGACACACCTAATATTTTCAGTTGGTAGGAAATTTTGAATTTTGCCTGGGTGGCGGCCGAAGCCTACTCTTATCGATTTTACACCACCAAGGGATCTTTAACGTGCGCAACTTGCACACGGGCCCTCCGAGATTTTTCGCCCTTGTCCGAGAAGGCTAGGTGTAGATCTTTCCTACCAAAGATCAGGGGTGTGGCAGAAAGACAGCAGTAAGGAAGAGCCAAGGAGTAGCAGTAGAAAGGCTGCAAGAAAGAGTCAGGAGTCCAGAGGAGGGGGCGAAGGAGGTGAGGGGGTGGGGGCAGAAAGTGGAAATGAAAGCAGACAACAGATCATTGCTAGAGAGCAGGAAAGGAGGTGAAAGGAGACAATTTTAGAGAAGAAAATTTTTTGGTCGCTACCCGGATTCAAACCCGGGACCTTTGAATGAGAGGCCAACACCTTAACCTCTAGGCCACGAGAGCCCCCGATATGAAGCTTAATCTACCCTTCGCTGATGAAAGTTCTGATGGCCGAGTGAACAGTGTGTCTGCGTTTGAAACGCAAAATATTATTTTGTGAGCGTGGGTTCGAATCCCAGTCCAAGCTTCCCCCCCCCCCTTCTTTTCATCCTCCCAACTTACCAACAATTTTTCCCATAATTATAATATGTTGCTTTTTAGCTTTTTAAAGTGGTAAATAAATTGTCAGTGCTGTCTGTTGTCCTCGTAATCATAACACATTGGGCTAAAAATAGGTTTAGCTGGTCTGATGTCGGTGGACGCGGATCTTTTTGAGTCGCTTCTACACCATGCAAAAACTTCGTACATTAGCCTGGCCTGGAAATGGCCTTATTTTGGTGGACACGTAGACTAAAGCAAGTCAGCAAGTAAGCAAGCACTCACGAACACACACACACACACACACACACACACGCACACACACACACAGTCCAAGAGTACGGCAGGCATATTTTATGTATTCATGGGTCAAAGGTCCAGCCAATCGTAGCCCGGGTTTACGCCCTCTATGTATTCGCATGCAGGTTAAAGGTTTCTCTACTTTAACTTCCAGGTCGTCGAGTACAATCGCCGCGGGGCTGTAGTGTGCACTGAAACCAAGACCCGATAGGCCCGACCAGACCTGACCCGACCCGAACGCGTATGTGGGCACCCCCTATTACACTATAAACATTTGTATTTGGTATAAAAGTAAAGTTCAGATCTTTGTCAAAATATAGACATAATTTTTAGAGCCACATTTACTTTCTTTGACGGAATTCATCAACAATACAAAAGAACATATGAGGCAGAAAAAAAGGAAGTTTTCAAAACAAATTTTACACCCCGATACACACACACACACACAACAGTTCAATAGTGTTTCTTCAATGATCTTGACGCCTGTTGAGACAGGCATGATCAATGATAAATATATAAAATTTTACTGATATTACAAGAAAATTCAACTGAACGAGTGAAAATGTGTTGTTGTGAGCAGCTTTATGAACAGCTTTATATACTAAAGAACAGGTAGAGTCAGCTGCTTCTTTCAGTCTAGTTTTGGGTTGTACACCTCAGAACAGCCAGGACAGAGAGCAACTTTGCAGTTTGAGCCCTCATGCAGTTTCAGATTCTTTTCATATTTTCTGTTCACAGCTGACACCTCGGCTCTCCACGCCTTTCCTGTGCCCATTTTCCACAGCCGACTAAAGATTCCGTACCCCATGGCGTTGTCTTCAGCTTACAGGCACTCTTTGAGAACATGCCTCTCTTGTAGTCAGGAATGTTACAAACTGACAGAGTCAGATTTACAGGATTTCATGACCCCATCCATCATCTCGAGGACCAGTTTCTCGACAACATTGGCCCTTTGTTCCTACTGTTTTTAGGGTGTTTTCTCACAAATTAGTCTAGGTGTTACCAAATGATATCAACTCTTTATCAACTTGCTCAAGAAGGAAAAGTAACAGGGGTTCTTGTGGTCTACAGGTAAACTGTTTGCTTCTCATTCTATAGGTCATGGATTCAGACAGCAACCGAAAATGTTCTTCTCTAAAAATATTATCTCCTTTCACCTCCTTTCCTGCTCTCTTATCATGTTCTATCGTCTGTATTTGTCGACCACTTTCTGCTCTATGTTTCCTCAAATCTACAAAAGTAGGCTTTGACCGCACACAGGCAAAAATTCAAAATTCATTCCTACCAAACTGTGAATGCTTATTGTGTCCCGAGCATGGGTCTCAATTCTGAATTTTAAAAAAGGAGGAACTTTCCAGGTGATCGCGACAGAAGCCCATTTTCGCGAAATGCCCATTATTATTACATTGTATAACTGTTGAACCCTAGAATGCTGAAATAAAAACCATTAATTTATCAAAGCAAGTTTATTTCACACCAATTTGAGGGTTTGGAAGATAATTTCAAGGAAGAGTCGCTTACCAAATATTTACAATCCTGATTACGTACAGAAAGTGGTGGCGCACTGGGATCTTGTGTGACTTATTATTTATATTTTCCCTTCATCATAATATTCGCCTGCATATATAAACTATTTAAAAATTAATCTGGTTTTGAGCCTGAGAAAAAGCCTAGAACCAGAATATCGACTGTCATGAACCAGTCTGGGGGTCATGATTCATATCATAATAAACGTGAAAGACAAAAATTAATGCTCAAACTCAAAGTAGAGTAATAACTTGAATAGCTCAAGTAGACCTATTCAGTGTGAGAGGTGTAAGAACTGTGGGAGGGCAAGATGCAGTGACACTGAAAATCTGCAAATCTTCTACAGAAAGCTAAAATATAGAGACTTAATATAAGTACTGTCACCCGTCCCCGATGAAACGCGAACACTTAGGCCCCTAAGTTCGATAACATGCTTACAAGTTATGACGGTTCCCGATTTCACACAAGGCCTGCACCAACGCGCACTTTACTTTTCAGAGAGCTGTAGTAGTAATCAAAATTCTAAATATTAAAAATGTGTTTCCAAGTTCAGTTTTTCTTTTCCTCTGATGTTGTGTCCAACCCCCCCCCCCCCCCCAAATCCCCGAGTGAATCTTAAAAAAAAAAAAAATCTATAATCTCCCTCCACTCCGGAGTCCTGTACTTCGCAGCGCTCAGAACGCGCGCAGGTTCACTGACCGGCAAGGAGGTTACAGTAAGTGAGCCCGACAAGACGCTTGTATAGCTTTCTTTTATTTTTTGACCCCTCAAGTGAAAACACAGTGACGAATTATATTGATTCTTTTCATGGCGACACCACATTTGTAATGCAGAACCTACATGTTACAAATGTTGCGTTATCAGACTATTACATGTACTGACAAATTTCTGGGTGGTGACGAAAGCGAAAGTAGATCTTGATTTTCCGGTCGAGCCTCATGTCATATACAATTCCGCTTGCCGCCATAGCCGCCTGTTCGCGTGAAACGTACTCTCAGACCGGAAAAAGCGACCTGCAAAAATGAACCTAAAGACTTTATAGAATTTGTTTTTCAAATATTCGTGATCTTTTATATTATTTTCCCGGGTCTCGGCAAT